AAATTCACTAATTTTTCATAAATTTTTTAACCACTTCAACTAACAAATTAACAAATGACAAGTATAAACTATGCACCACTGTCTCTATATCTCACACCATCATCAAATCAACTGAATGTCGTAATGCTTGAAAATAACTTGCACATGAAATGTACTAATATAACCGGCAGATCCCCACCATCAGCAGAAGTCAGCGAGTCGATCTAAAAGATTCTATACGAACGTAGGTTGTTAAAGAGAAAATAAACAGCGATTTAAAAGACGATGGCAGTACTGACGATGAATTAAACACGGAGGTGGATTAAACACAGAGCTGGGAATGGAAATGGAACTTTGTCTGATATCCCTTTGACAACATACCAGAATGGATCACCAACACCAATTAATTGGTGGAGTTGTAAAAATAGAAATCCCTTTTTGCAAACGATGTTTTTTTTTCTGGATTAAAGGAAAAGTCACGTTTTTGTGTTAATTGTTTTTCTTTGAACCAGATCTAACACTTCAGGAAGTTGTTGTGTTCATACTCATCCCCAATATATGGTTTTTTGATAGTCAACCCAATGGTGGTCCTATATATTTGATATGAATCATTGTTTTGACTTTTCCAGCAGTAATTATGAACTTTATTGGAACAATGTCAAAATGATTTTTTTTCACGTGGAAACATTATTTTATGTATTTGATATAGCTATAAAACAATTAGTAGTTGACCTTTAAGACAGTGACTATAAATTTCATTGATAAATTCCAAAAAGTGCTATTTTCACTTGGAAATATTGTCCTATCAATTTGATATAACACATATTAAAAGACAACTAGCGCAACTCTTTCAAACAGTAATTTATTATCTAACAGTAATTAACTAGTTATCAACTCTTTCTAACAGTAAATTGTAAATAAATTTTAATGGAGTAATTCGGAAAAGGGCTATTTTCACATTGTCCTATCTATTTGATATAACACATATTGAAAGGCAACTAGTGGTTGCTAGTTCTAAAAGTTATTATAAATTTTAATGGAGCAATTCGAAAAAGGGCTATTTTTACTTGGAAACATTGTACTATATAGTTGATCCAGCACATATTGAAAGGCAATCAATCGTTGCCATTTTTAAAAGTGATTATAAATTTCATTGTGACCAAGGACTATTTGTGGAATTACACCGGAACATTATGATTCATATTTTCAAGCAGCATATCTATACTGCTTGATATCAGGTTGTCCAAAACGCGGATTTAAACCCAGGTCTTTTGAAACACTAACCGAAATAGGTGAAGAAAATGAGAGATAATTGTATATTGTAGCAACATATTTTCCAAAAAAATATCATATTGCAAAGTGACGACAATACAAAGTATTTTATATTGCTATGTTAAAGATGACCATGCCAATATAGAACGGAATTTGTGATTGATTAGAGGCTTTAAGAAAGTCTTTTAGAAAGTCCATAAAAAAGGTTAAAAGATGAAGTTTATAATATGTTGCTTTAACAAAGCAAGATGATTATACTTTTTTTTAATTTGAACAACATTTTAATGATTTTTTTAATTTCTTCATTTTTCGACTTTTCTGTTATCTTTGAAACCTTAACATTTTTTAAACAAATTAAAGTTCAAAATGTAATAGATCATTTGAAAAATTAATGCAATACACAAATACTTCAGAAAATAAAAAATATTTGAAGCAATAATAAGTAATTACAGGACAAAGTTGAAAACCATTGAAAAAGAGAAGTAATTTCTTTTCTTTGAAATTAATTTCAAACAAATTAAAAATATTTATTATAACTAATAAAAAAACGACATAAAGTATAATAAAAATAAATATCCATGTGATAAAATTGTACGTAAAGTATAAAGTACGGCATTTTATATAAATGAACAAATCAAATATTCAATTTTATTATAAAAGAAATGACATATATATTATATTAATCCACTAAACAAACAGTTTTAAAATTTTAAAATCAAGGTTTTTTGACAAAACGTCGACAAAGGGTAAAAAATTGGCTTACATACACAGCACACTTTTACAAAATTCGTCTAAAAGGATTCGGACAAATATATTAGTAGTAAACTTAATAAACTAAAAATGTATAAAAATAAGTAGAGTCAACAAACTCAAGAGTTATGAACTTTCAACTTTTCTTTATGTGAGTCTCGTTGCAGGAGATATTTTAGTCGCAAAATAAATTATATTCTAAATATTCGCGAAGCATGTGTTTGCAATATAAACTGAATAACTATGCGTGCATAGAAAGCCAAACGATATTGACAATTTGCAATTCAAATGTGATGCTTGGGTCGAATCGGTTTTGTTAAATCGTGAATCAAAATATTATGATCATTAGCACGATTTATATGGCATACGAAATCAGACTAAAGCAATTTAAATCAAAATAAGTGTTTCAGATTCATGAATAATCGTACTCTCCAAAACACTTCCAAAATACAGAAAAGATAAAAATTTGAAAAACATCTATTGCTATCTTATAATGATTTATCAACGAAAATGCTTTCTTAGAACAATTGAGTTAACCATAAATATGTCACCAAGTGGTGGTGAATGGCATGGTCAATCATGGTCATGGTCATGATGGCGAATGTAAAATTGTAGGAAACACTTATTCAAATTTAATATATTTATGTGAAATAGAAATATTAGCACACATGAACATAGTAACAAATTAAAACTTCAAATTTATTGGGAAACAAAAAAATTAAAATACGTCACCACAAGTACAAGTACAAATCTCAATATTTAAACAAGTATATAACAGTTTAACAATAATGTACAAAAATGAAAGACCGTTGCAACTCTGGAAGATACTTTTAAATTTGTTTATGAAAATCGTTAAATAGTTGTGTTATGTCTATCTCAATTAGAAACAAGTTTTTTTACACGATTCTATTGGTTGATCCATTTTCTCCTAAAAACACTTACAGATTTCATCATTCATTCATACAAACTATACTTTATTCTATTCACTTCAAATAATACTAATTTTGCTCTATAAATTTAAAAACTTGACATCATCAACCTTCGATTTTTCCAATATAAAACCTACTGCCTTCTATTATTTATCTCATAACTGTTATACAATAAATTTCAAGTTTATTATTGGCACAAATTCTGTTGGTGAAAATAGTGTTACAACATTTTGTGGTTTATTTATAGATACATCGAATTCATTCTTTCTTCACACCTCAAAAACCATAACGTCTTACACTTTTTCTTTCTATTTATATTTAGAACTTCCTTCAGATGTTGCTAATTATGATGTTTACATGAGACATGTGATGGTAAATTAATTTGACATAAATGACCAAATTGGAGGCACTCGTGGTATGTCCAGAGGAAAGGTTTATTACGGTGTAATTTAAAAATGACAAGAAAGAAAGAATTTCTCTATTATTTCAATAACAAATGTTTTTATTTAAAATTTATTACACCAGCAAATTAAACATTTTGAATGAGTAAATGAGAGAAAAATAAAATAAAAATCATTCTGTGGTATTATTACGGCTTAAATCTTCATTTAAGTATAAGAGCCAAAAACAAACAATCGTTTAATTTTTGTTAATCACTAATTTCAAAGCAGTTTTCATTTATTTTAAATTGCATTCCTAAAACTATATTGAAATATATATTATTAAATTTTATCAAATAAGAATAAGAATTTTAGAGACTCTTCTAGGATATGATTCAGTAAGATAGTCACTTTAAATGTATCTATTACTTACTGTATAAAATCTGGTTTTCTAAAGTTCATTGTCAGCAAAAACTAAATGCTAACTTCTAATAATTGCAACGCTATTATACAGAAATTGTGTGAGTTATAAGAAAATGGTTAAATGCGGAGTGCCACAAGGAACTGTTCTAGGACCACTCTATTATATCTGATTTATATTAACAACTTAAAAGAAAGAACATAGTAGGTAGATACATAGTGTACCCAGACGATACAATGATAATATACGCAGATAAAAACCGAAAAAATCTCGAACAAAAAATAAACGGTGGCTTAAAAACTAAACACAACGTGGCTAACTGAAAACCAACCAACAATAAATACAGAGAAAACGAAGTACATATATTACAGCATTATGAAAGCTCATTTCATTTTTCAAACAAAACTATAAAGGTATTTACAAAATAAGGCGAAATTTAAGGCGTCAGAGCAAATATCATAATATTCCATAAAATTGACTACAATAACCAGAAACGTTCAGCAATATGAATATACTACAACACTCAATAAGTGCATAGGATGACACATAGATGTAATAATCCATATGATTTGTAAGAAGTACCAACTTTAATTAAAATCTGTCAAAATTTTATGACAATTCGACGATTAGTTTATAAGTTCTAGAGGTTTCAAAAAAATGAATTCAAAGCAAGTGCTAATTTATCATTGCTTTTTGCTTTTTGAGTAGAGTTAGTTAAACCAAGATCTAAAATTGATACAAACATTTGAACCCATTTCAGAAAAATATTTTAATTGTATTATAGTCCATTTTGAGGTTCATTGGTTACCATAACTAGAGCTCATTAAATGCAAATGTCTTTACAATAGTAAGTTGCTCAAAATCAACTCCATTGAGATATGACATAAGGTAGTCTCATCCTTATATATGAAATCCTCATATATGAAATCTTAATTATAGAGAGTGATTACTAATCTTTTATGATTCGTTAGTAATAAAATCATCGACCAACACAAATTATCTTTCATAATGGGCGTCATTAAGAAGAGCAGTATCAATCATCACATTAATTTTGATTGTCATTAAAGCCCATTACAATTCCACAATGATTCATTTAAGAACAAGAATGTTCATCAAGATACAGCCAATTAATCTGATTCAAAATCTCGTTCAGTAGCAAATTGTCTATTGGACCAAATTCTAGTTTTGTCTATTTTATATTTTATTAATTGTAAGAATATTATAACAGACTCTGATTGTTAGACGGTGATTAAAATTTGAATATTTCAGCCCGTCCTTTTCTGACAAACTTATCCCGCGATTGCCTACGATGTTTATGCCATGCAGCTTCTGGGTGCAATCTAGCGTCACCGTACGAGTGTTCATCTGATGGACGATGTGGGCCCTTTCGTTTGTCTTATGGCCAGTGGAAAGATGCAGGACGGCCTACACCTGAAACACCGAGACCTGGGTTGCGCACCACTGGCGGCGAACCGGACTTTACGGACTGCGCTGGCGATTACAGATGCGCGGAACATGTTGTCATAACGTATATGGAAATTCATGGCCAGGTAAAGAAGATTTTGTTATAAAGTATTGATTAAAATGCATACGGCCTTATTATTATTATTAAGATATATACTATATATAATTAGCTCTATACTGGAATCTGAATAGGAAAATATCCATGTAATAATAGATTTATAAAAATAATATTATTCAGATTTATTTAAACTCATAGTAGATCTATTATATAGTCCAGTCATTATAGTAAGTTCACCACGGAATTCGAGATACCCAGCTGTAAGTCTGTAAATACTTGTATTTTGCACCCTAAAAGTTGTCTCAAAACCTACATATGTTGCGTACACCCTACCATATGTAGGTTTTGAGACAACTTTTAGGGTGCAAAATACAAGTATTTACAGACTTGCTGCTGGTTGTCTCAAATTCTGATATTCTTACCTAATTTAAACCTAAATGACTGGACTATATATATAATTAGCTCTATGCTAGAAACTGAATAGGAAAATATCTATTATATATTCCAGTCATTATAGTATAATAATACTATAGATATATAATTAGCTCTATGCTAGAAACTGATTAGGAAAATATATATTATATATTCCAGTCATTATAGTAAGTTCACCTCGGAATTCGAGATACTCAGTTGTAAGTCTGTAAATACTTGTATTTTGCACCCCAAAAGTTGTTTCAAAGCCTACATATGTTGCGTACACCTTACCATATGTAGGTTTTGAGACAACTTTTAGGGTGCAAAATACAAGTATTTACAGATATACAGCTATGTATCTCGAATTTCGAGATTCTTACCTAATTTATGCTTAAATGACTGGATTATATATGGAAGAAAGAGTTTTTAAGTCTTAAGTAAGTAAAAAGTGAAATAAAAAATATCATATGTACTTAAAAAGCAAAACTACTACAAACAACTTGGTTTGAAAGTATAACAGGCGTTAGGAACTTCTTCAACTATATCCAGAATGGTAAGACTAATTTCTAGACGATAGAAATATGCAAAATACTATATGCCAGTGAGGTAAAGGATTAGAAACAATAGATAATATTTTTGGGAATTTATGTGAAAGGCAAATTAATGCACAAAAGGCTGCAGAAGAAAGGCATTGTGTTGCCAGTAAATTTAAAACTTTTATCAACTATAACGAGAATGATATTTGGACGCTCATTAAGTAAGACCATTTTCTTACATGCAAGTGAGGTAAAAATCTGAAACAATAGATCAACTTTTTGGTATTATAAAATCTATGAAAGACAAAGGCAAATAATGTACAAAAGGCTGCAGAAGAAAGGCATTGTGATGCCAATAAATTTCAAACTTTTGATATCCAGCAATAATATTGGAATATATCAAATTATCTATCATTATATTAATTATAAGATTTATGAATGAACGAAACGTTGATAAATTTATGTAACTATATCTGCTAATGCAATCTTTAATTTTATTACAACAATCAATTAAGCATATTATCTAATAAGAAAAGGATCCAAGCCATATACAATTAATAAAAAAAATAGATCTATTAGTATAAATAATTATCAATCGATTTTATATTAATAAGTTTGAACACTGCGTAAAATAGAGAAAAAAATATAGTTATTTTAATTTTAATGATTGCATTTTAATAAAATCTTATTTCAAGATTCTAGAATATTTTAAGAAATTCGATTGCATAGGTAAAGTACCTAATCACACTACCTAAATACCACAGTGTTCATTTGGAATTAATGAATTGAGTTAAATTAATACAAGCTACCCAGATGACAATCAACTATATTTATAGAAATATAGTTAGTTTTTAAATTAAAAATATTTTTATTAAATAATCGAAATGTTTACGAAATTTTTAGTGACTAAATTATATCTTGATTTAGTATATTTACTAGATTCTATTTTATAATTTTTGATTTAAATGTCTTTTTACGTCTTAAACTTTAATAATGCTCGCGTTTAACGTACTTATCTTTAAGGTTTGGTTAATATTTTAAGCCAGTATTGATGTAATTATTAAAAACTCGGATAGCTGTTTAATTACATATAAAAAAATATTTTCATTCTGTGCATACTTTTTTTAGAATTCATCCTAATGCATTTCTATGCATTGATAATATAAAAAAAATCCGGTTTTGCTCTCAATCAAATCAAAGACAAATTCTTATGCAACTAGAAGTAACTAGATATTTTTATAGAGTTTTATCTCAATACTGGTTTTTCAATCAATCAATACGATTCCGTTATTATAGGATTGTAACGGTGACCAAGTGACGGATTGTGACGATTACATGCTGATCAACGCCCACGGGAACATGCCTTGCTACCGAAGACTCAATCGGACATCGGACGGAAGAGAATATTTACAGAGATACAGAGTCTGTAGACCTTCGTGAAAAATTATATTATTTATATCATATCATTATATCATTTAATAAATTTTGATACGTAAATTGAAATAATTTTTTAATAAAAGATAATTATAATAGATAGAAATGGAACATAGTTTGAGGTACGCCGAAAAAAACAACTGGTAGTCAGGTCACAGTGTTCTGGATTTAAAGTTTTTTTAAATTTTTATGACCGTTATATAATGTAAGAACAGACATTGCTAAAATCAATTACCCATTTGAGATCATTAATCAGAAGTAAGTTGCCAAGCTTATGTGGGTCACATAAATACTGCGTGCGTAACATGGATAAATATAAAGTAAGATCGTAAAGTAATGCAAGTCGACATAGTAATATATATAGTTAGACGCATGAAATTTATCATAAATAAATAAGTTAATAAGAATTTACTTAATTAATAGAGGACAATGGATAAACCCCTAAGGACACGATGGTCTTCGATATCTGCAGTAAGTCATAACCCAGCTGCTACATTTTTTTTTTCAAAGAAAACATTTGGCTACATATAGTTTCTGTAGGCGCATTAAGGGAGTAATTCTCTGATAAAATAGAAATTTATGTCACGGGTGTATAATCGTATAATTGATAGACACGAGCTGTCCAAAAGTTGTATATGTTTGTTGTGCGATTAGGCGTTTCACACATAAAAGCTAACCACCACAAAGTACAAATGTTAAATAATAAGTGTTTCATGAGCCCAACTTTCTGATGTAATTTTGATGACACATACGTGAAGTCTGACCAAAGTTATTATTGTGATATTTGTGACTTTTGGAAGTTAGGCTTTATGTGTAAAACATCTAACATCAGTAATTATATAACTTTTTGGCAGTTCATGACTACCAACTCATACTATTATAGACCCATAACATAATATTTCTATATTATCCGAGAATTAGCCCCTAAATATGAGTATCGCTTTGACCCTCTATACATATCGAAGACCATCGTGTCCTTAGGGTTCATCCCTTTAATCACGTATATACAATAACCTCTAAAAGAAGGGAGGTGTGTAACAAAAAATATAACAAGGAGTGTTGCAGCAAGATATCACCTTTTTTTATTATTTATTATTTACTGGTGGTATTTATTTTTTACCCAAATTTAAAAGAATTCAATTTTTTTTATATTTTTCGAAATTTTACAAAAAAGATACAATTCTTTGTTACTAAAAATATACGAGATGTTTGGTGGGGGTGGAGGGTAATTATAAATATCACCACACTTCGCCAAGAAGTAGAAAAGGTAAAAATGCTTGAAAAAAGATCATGTGACTAATAGTCGGCCACTTATTCAGGGTTATTCAGGGTTGCACTGTTGTCAGATTTATCTAAATATCGCTTATACAATCACTTAGGACAGAACAATTGTGCGCCAACAATTGTGCGCTTGATCATTATAAATTTAGTACATATTATGTGAGATTTAATAAAACCCAATCTGCTGCCTATTTCTTCATTATATCCGCCTTCAGAGATTACAATAATACTATAATTAAAGTATAAAAATAAAAAAATATGACACTGAAAATGGTGCAACAAATAAAATTAATATTATATATAACGATAGCTTCTATCCATATTTTAATTTCGTACGTTTTTCCTATGCATAGATATTGGTACTCGTTGTATAAGTAAATAGTTTTTGTTTAACAGGTCGTCTGACTAATATCAACATAAAAACGTATCAATAGTTTAAATTATACTGCAAATACTGTATATT